TGAGAGAGTGAATGAGAGTGTGAGAGAGTGAGTGAGAGTATGAGAGAGTGAGTGAGTCAGTGAGTGAGTGAGGGAGTATGAGTGAATGAGAGTGAGTGAGTGAGTCTAGGCCTTATTTCTTTGAGAGTAATTTTCTCGGACAGAGAGCATTATAAAGTTAATCATGGCAGGAGTAGGTAGGTTAAAATGTAATGCTTTATCATTTGATCTCCCCTTTGACTCATTTGAAAGTGGTTTCTGTTTTTAAAAAAGTAAATGTGTGGGTAGTCTTAATTACCATCAACTTAATAAATAAATAAGTATGAAGGTATTGTGAGAATGCAAACATATAATTCAGATTCTATACAACTACACCTATCCAATCTAAATGACTGCATGTGACCACACAAACACACAGTTTTACAACAAATGTTCATCACTTTATTCATATGGCCCCCAAAGTTTTAGCATTGCCTTACCTTGTTTTCAGACCTGATTTCATCAACAGAAGAACGGATAAAAAATTTTTTTAAAATTTAAATAATTTTGTGATATAATTAACATATTTCACAAATACAATTCAATAGTTCAACCGTAGTAAGAAGATTGTTCAATCATCACCACAATCAACTCTGGAACATTTTCTTCCTCTTTGTACCCACTGGTTGTGGAGCAACAAAGTTTGATACAGTTATACAATGGAATGCTACTTAGAACTGAAAGAGAACACATTGCTGATAAAGGCAAAACTGGGAGAATCCCAGGACGTGTTGAGCTAAAGAGGCCAGGCATAAAAGTGCACCTAGAATATAATTCTAAAACGAGTCTGTACAAATAGAAATCAGAATAGTGATTGCCTCTGTGAGCAGGGCCAAGGGGCAGGAAGCCATTTCTGGAGGCGATGAGAAGGTTCTTTCTCTGACTGGGTAGTGGTTGCACGGACATAATCTAGTGCTCAAAATGAATGGCGCTGTGCACTGTCGTCCATTCCGGTGTATGTAAATTACACGTCAATGAAGTCCTTAAAAGATCTCCACAGTATTAATTCAGGAGGGAGTGGTGGTGGTAAATGGAATTAAATTATGGCTGCATTTTTCATGAGGAGGGGGAAAGAATCACAGCGCAGGCTTTGCTAAGTAAAGTACACATGTTGCAATTTTTAGGGTAACCATTTAAAAAGTAGGGGGGGGGAAAGAGGGTGGGGACGAGGAGGGAGTAGAGTGGGTGGAAGTTTCCCAGCAACAGAAGGCACGATCGGAAGAAAAGAGACCGTGGAGAACACGGAGCACACAACGTGCTGGGTTTAAGGGCAAACACGGAAAATCCGCACGTGTTGTGGATGAATTCTGGTTTAAGGATGCAATCTTCCAAAGAATTTGTGAAGCGTAGAGAAGCGAGTGAACCTGGGAGCAGGGACTAATCCGCTGCTTTGCTGCTTGCCGTTGCCCTGGCTCTGTCTCCATCCAACCCCCCTGGCCCAAAGGTGTGTGCATTTCGTGCGGATCCCCCACCCCCACCCCCGGCCGGGCCGTTGCCCGTCGCAGATCGGTTCCTCTCGCCGCACCTTTGCAGCCACCTGAGCGGCACCCGGACGCGGGGACTCCCTGCAGGCCCTTCCGAAAGGGCCCACGTCACTGGTCAGCGCGGAGGCCAGCTCAGAATGCTGGACTTTTGAGGGAGGGTGGGGGAGGGAAGGAAAAAAATGAGGCGCTGATACCAAGGGCTCAAATAGAAAGAAAATGTTTCCAAAATGATGATGACAACATACGTACAAATGTGCTGGACGAAACTGATGGATGTACGGATTGTGATGAGTTAGTTGTATGAGCCCCGAATAAAATGATTTAAAAAAAAAAGAATGCTTAATTTTTGTGGGAAGAAATTTTATAAAAATGTTTATAAAGGGCATATAAATAGATCTATGTGCCTATATTTATAGGTTTAGTATTAAGGTAGCAGAAGGATATTGGGCCTCCACTCAAGTAATCCCTTAATGCAAGAATACTTTCTTCTATTAAATTGGCATTCTAGGATCCTCACCTTCCCTAAAAATGTTGTTTATATCTAGTACAGAAATAAACACTACGCCTATTTGAAAATTTAATTTACACGTATTCCTTAATGAAGGAATAAAAAAATACCTCAAAACATCTTGATAGCAGAGGATGGTTTCGATCCATCGACCTCTGGGTTATGGGCCCAGCACGCTTCCGCTGCGCCACTCTGCTATCTGTAACAATACGCTGCCCAAACTCTATAAATGCTCTTCCAGAGGGCGTGATGCGTCACAGCGCCTTCTAGCGTCTGATCCTAAAATTGTCATGGTTGTCAAACCTATTCTTATTGGCTGGTTCCTGACGCAGTAGACGTGTTTTCATTGGTTCGTAGCCCGATTTGCCAGAATAAACCAATAGGCCTGAGCGAGGGGGCTATGGCGGGAACCAATCACATCGGGTTTTGTTGGGACGCGCCGGCCCGCTGCCTCCCCGCTGGTTTGTGCCTCCGAGGAAGGGGCGGTTGGTGTGGCCTCCATTGTTCGGGACTTGGGGCGCCATGAGGTGAGGCCCGGGCGCTCTGGGAATGTGTCGTATATTGGTCGGGCAGTCGGTGAATGGGGAGTCTAGAACCTGGGAACTTCAGGCCCGGGAGGCGGGGAGGCGCCCGCCCAGGCGGACCCACGGGCCGGGGAGTGGAAGGCGAGTCGCCCGGCTCGGTCCCTCGGGGCCTGCGCTGGCCCCGGGGAGCAGTAGCGCCGTTTGGACGGAGGCGGCCGGACCGTGTCGCATTCATCTCCGTGCCGGACACAGGCTCAGTCAATGGGCTGGGGCGCTAATGGGCGGAGTGAGCAGCCTCCTTGGCCGCCGAAGTGTTGGCTTTGAGGCGCTCCAGGGATCCGAGTGCCATTTCCATAGGGACTCAGGGTGTTGGGGCCCCGTCATTGTCGCCAGGGGTGTGTGTGGTGATTCCGTTATCCACGTGAACAGGTCGTGGAGGAGGGGCTAGGTTACCTTTGGATTGGGACGAGGTGGATGGGGCAGGGTCCCCCGGGTACCTCAGCGTGATGGCGATGGAGATTCCTTGACTGAAGTCAAAGTAAAATCGAACCCTTTGACGCATTTCTAGGGGTGACAGAGGACGTGGTCGGGGCGGGCGCTTTGGCTCCCGAGGCGGCCCAGGAGGAGGGTGAGTGCTGGTTTTTAAACATCTCTGCCCTGCGCTGTGCCTGTGTCACGCATCTAGATAGCAGTAAACGGCTACCCGCTTTTGTGAGACCCAGCTGTGATTTAGTAGCTCTATTCTGCTAAATGTTGAGTGTGACCCCACCCCCAGGAGACCGGCACTGATTGTGAGGAGAGCACACACGTTTCCCAAATGGCTCAAAAACTCAGTGCCATCGAGTTGATTGTGCCGTGGAGGACAGAGTGGAATCCTGGGGGCATCCCAAGGTTCTGTAGCGCAGCATCATCACGGTATATGATCCGAACCAATTGTCAGTAGTTGAGGGAAAGGTTGGGGTGCAATATACAATTAGGCCATCATAACTTTGAGCCACCTTTTTTTTTTTTTTTTAATCTTAAAGTTTTAATTGGGGAAGCTCAGTGTGCTCTGGGGGGTTGAAAATGCATACATCTCTTGATTTCAGCTTCCAAGAGGTGCTAGAAAGCCAGGCTTTGGTTTTGATTAAGTTTCGCTTAAAGTCTCATTTGATTTCTATGTCAATGATTTGGGCTGTTCTTATTTTAGGTTCCGGCCCTTTGTGCCTCATATCCCATTTGATTTCTATTTGGTGAGTACTTTGTGTTGTGTGTGTTTCTTGCTCATTGGTACCTGTAGTTGTAGAAACAGCTTAACATCTCCTTTGTTCAGTCAAACGGTTCAGAGGAGAAGACATTTGCGAATGAAAATGGGGTTTTGTGTTTTGCTTTACTTACAAAACATGTCAGGGGTGAGGAGATAATTCTTTGACTGACTTTGAGCATTAATATGATTTATATTTTTTGTTGGTCATTATATTCTTGGTGTATCTTAACGTTAAGGTGGTTCAAGCTTAAATTATGGCTGACCCTTCTGGTTTGCATCCTTGTCTGTAGTAGACAAGTAGAAAGTGTACTTTTCTTTTTCCTGTTGTAGTACCAGAAAGTCTTTCCTAGCCTCCATTTTTGTTACGTGTTACATATAGTGGTTGTGTATTTCTGCTTCAGTGTGAAATGGCCTTTCCCCGAGTCAAGCCAGCACCTGACGAAACATCCTTCAGTGAGGCCTTGCTGAAGAGGAATCAAGACCTTGCTCCCAATTCTGCTGAACAGGTGAGGGTTACCCAAGAAGGTTAGACTCCTGAATAGCTATACGCAAGGTAACGTTATCTGAGCTGAAACTGAAACTCTACAAAGAACGTAATTGTTCTCCTTATTACTCATGTGGCTGGAGATGGAGAGCTAGATAAACGAATAAATATAAATACGTAGGGGTGTGTGTGTACCATTTACATATGCAGTCAGATTTTAAAAGAATCATTTTATTGGGGGCTCATATAACTCTTAATCACAATCCATCCATCCATCCATTGTGTCAAGCACACTTGTACATTCGTTGCCCTCATTCTCAAAATAGTTGCTCTCCACTTAAACCCTTGGTCACAGCTCCCCACTCCCCATTCTGTTGGTTCAAAGTTTTTTCTGGCATATTCAAGGCCAAAAGCAAAGCTCCAGTGCCACTGAGTTGATGCTGACTCTTAGCGCCCCTCTGAACCATTGGGACAGGGTAGAACTGCCCTTGTGAGGGTCTGAGACTAGCAGACAGCCTAATCTCGCTTGTATTCAAGGGCAGCAGGGCCAAATTGTTTTTAAAGCCTGCAAGTTGGTACTGACTAGGCTTGTCTAGAAGGCATTAGGGAACATACGCAAATCTCTGAGAAACTGTCATTCTTGCTTCATGCGTTTTTTTTTACCCCCTCCAGGCTTCTATCCTCTCTCTGGTGACAAAAATAAACAATGTGATTGACAATTTGATTGTGGCCCCGGGAACATTTGAAGTGGTAAGTGTTTATTGATTGAGTTCTGTAAGGGCAGGCTTGGCATCATTGACTGTTCCTTGGGTCTTATCTGAATTTTCAGTTGCCTTTCTCTAAATCCAAGCCTATAATGGGAAGTGCAGTGCATTCCTGTCTAATCCGAATCCTGGGTTGAGTCTCTTTCTGCTGTCAGCTAACCATGATATGGCAGTCTTTCATGTGGGTTTGGAGTTCCAAAAAGAACTAGGCAGCCCTTTTCCAACAGCAAATTGAAGAGGTACGACAAGTGGGGTCCTATAAGAAGGGGACTATGACGACGGGACACAATGTGGCTGACTTGGTGGTCATCCTGAAGATTCTGCCAACATGTGAGTGCACCGGGAAGCAGAATACTACACCATGTGGTTTGGGGCCCAGTAATCGTCAAAGCCTAGATTCCTTGGGAGAAAGGGTTTTTGCAAGACGACTGGGAAATGGGGTTTTCCACTTGTTAGGGTGATAGGGGACAAACTGGAGTGGGTACGGAGACTGGATGGCCAGTTGTAGGACAGTATTTCTTAACTGGGGGTGACTTGTTCCCCTGGGTAATTTGACCTGGGGACATTGTTGGTTTTCACAACTAAGGGGAAGAAGGTTGTGTGCTACTAGCATCAAGTGAGTGGAGCCAGGGGTGCTGCTAAGCATCTTCCAGAGTACAAGATGGCCCTGCCCACCACACAGAATTATCTCTCTCCAAGAGGTCACTACCAGTTGGGCTGCTGACTGCAAGATCAGCAGTGTGAAACCACCAGCCGCTTCACTGGAGAAAGATGAGGCTTTCAACCTGTAGAGGTGCTGGGAGTTGGTATCACTGATGGCAGTGAGTTTGGCTTCGGTGTGGTAATGTAATGTTACCATTGAGGAGAATCCCTGTCGCAGGACAAGAGTTTAGGAAGTATTCTGTTCACCGAGCGCTCTAATTTCTATGCCAGTTTCTCTTGTTTCAAAGTGTGCAAAGTAGCTTAGAGATGCTGAGAACATCTGGAGATTTTTTTGAAATTTAAAGTTAAACTGTGATGGTGAAAACATCAAAGCACGTCATCAGATTATTACAATACTTATTATTTTCCTTTTCTCATCTAGTGGAAGCTGTTGCGGCCCTTGGGAACAAAGTTGTGGAAAGCCTAAGAGCACAGGATCCTTCTGAAGGTTTGCGTTTGTTGCTCATGGGCTGTTTTAGTGGTCATAGAAATCTGTCATTAAATGTGCTTTAAACAAAAGTGGGTCGGGCTATGTAGAAAAGTATCAGAGTTTGATGTTGGGAAGTGTATTACCGGGGCCTCAGGTGTTCAAGATCCAGTTGAGCTCTCTTCTAAACTGTATTCTGACCTTTTGTTGCTATTTTAAAATCAAGTTTGCCTCCTCCTCTTCCTTCGGTCATTGAATGCACATAGTTGTTTTTTTCTTTCAGTTTTGACCATGCTGACCAGTGAAACTGGCTTTGAAATCAGTTCTTCTGATGCCACAGTGAAGATTCTCATTACAACAGTGCCCCCCAATCTCCGGAAACTGGATCCAGAGCTCCATTGTTAGTCCCTTTCTCCATTGCTGGGTCACCTGTGGGAAACGGGGAGTGCTGTTCCATATGAACCTTCGACTTGAATTTACCCTGAACTTTGTGGTTTCCCTCGGTGATTGGACATGTGGAGAGTTTCCGTATTAGCCATTGAAATAGTTGTCCTGGCCTCCTTCCTTTCTTGGGTTGTGGGAATGGCAGTGGAGGCTTGCTCACTGAGGGAATGTTTTGCTTTTGCTTGTCTTCCAGTGGATATCAAAGTATTGCAGAGTGCCTTAGCAGCTATCCGGCATGCTCGCTGGTTTGAGGAAAATGCTTCTCAGTCCACGTGAGTCCCTCCACTTAGCAAAAGATAGGATACCCTCATATTTCCTGGCAGCTGTTTTACCTGCAATCTAGATTTAGGTCATTCCCTACCCCCCACCCCGGTCTCAAAATAAGCAAATTTAGACAAAACATGTAGTTCTAATCTCTGGGTTTCTTTTATCTTCAGAGTTAAAGTTCTCATTAGGCTGCTGAAAGACTTGAGGATTCGTTTTCCGGGATTTGAACCCCTCACACCATGGATTCTTGACCTACTGGTAAGAAGGGTAATTCAGAGTTCTTGACTATCCTTGTGTAATAATAATAGTTATGAAACCCATCAGAATATGAAATTTGGTTACAGCTTAAAGACATTTCATTGGTGGACAAGGAATCCAATAACAGTTCAGAGTTTGCTACTTCATTAGGTTGGGGAGGGTAAAACTGAGTTCTTGCTGATATGGTGCTCCTTGTCCTTTGTCTATTCGTTTAGCCATCTGCGGTTTACTAAGGGACTGTGTCTGCTCCCTAACTAATCTTTTCTAGTCTAGTTGGAGCAGGTGCGTACAGTTCTTACATTAGAAAAGAGCGTGGAGCCCTTTGAGTGGCTTACGTGCCGCAGGTGAAGGTGGGTGTGTTGATGCCTTTGTTGCAAGGAAGGTTTGGTCTGTCATTTCAAGGTGCGGGCAGATTTCGGTGGCATTACAGTGGGACTTCGAAGATGGTGGCCAGTCCTGCCACTTTGGATGGTTATAGCTCTCCGCTACCATTAGTCCAATCTCATTCCTTAGACTCCTGAATGGGCGTGGGATGCTGCTTCCAAGTTTCCCACTTTAGCACTTGAATGCTGAATTTTCCTTGTTCGCCATGTCGAAGGACCTGAGTCGTGAACATTTCCGTCTGTTTGTGTTGAATTTTGTTAACCAGGACAGAAGTGGTGTGAAGCTGTGTAGTGGAGGGCAAGTAGCTCGTCGTCCATAGGCAAGACATTTGTAACCAACTGAACCAGTCTCAAATGAGCAGTTTTCCTTGTGATTAAAGTTTTAGTTTGAAGACAGAATTGCCTTTAAAGATAGATTTGCCGGGTCTACATGTGACCTCCTCCCTGGGGAACGGACAACAGAAAAGTGGGTGAAGGGAGACATCGGATAGGGCAAGATATGACAAAATAGTAATTTATAAATTATCAAGGGTTCATGAGGGAGGGGCAGTGGGGAGGGAGGG